ATTATTTGAGTTTAATACACCTTGGAATAAAAAATAATAATTAAATTAATATGTTAATTGTTATTAAGTAATTATTAAAATAAAGTGGTTAATTTTTTTTTTAAATAAAAATGAGATGGATTAAAAATTCATTATTATCTGTATTAAATAATCATATAGTTGATTATCCTACACCTATTAATGTAAATTATTATTATGGTTTTGGTTCTTTATCAGGTTTAATGTTAGTTATACAAATATTAACAGGTATTTTTTTAGCTATGCATTATACACCTCACATAGATTTAGCTTTTAATAGTGTTGAACATATAATGCGAGATGTTAATTATGGTTGGTTAATTAGATATATTCATGCTAATGGAGCTTCTTTTTTTTTTATTGTAGTTTATATACATATGTTTAGAGGTTTATATTATGGATCATATATAACACCTAGAGAATATTTATGGTGTTCAGGGGTTTTAATTTTTATAGCTATGATGGCTACATGTATATGGCGTTTTGAAACCTTTGACATGCAAAAATTTCAATTAACCCTAATCTCTGGTCCCTCGATGGCTTCGTGGACTGTGAACAACTTTCAAAAGTAACATTCCTTTCGCGTGCATCAGCTTCATGGCGAGCGTGGTGTTGGCGTGATGATAGCCACGTGTGGTCGCAAGACGTTTTTGCTTGAAACAAATTTGTTCAATCCCGACGGCATTAGCAACATGGACGAAACCCAACTTTTCTACTGGGCTCAATCTGGCTCTTCTATGTTGCGTTGACGTTAAAAATAGAAACTCCACAGTCTGCTGCATTAACGTCAATCTTTCGCTGCTGGTTCGCACATATTGCCTATCAGTTTTATCAAGAAGACTGTCCGCCTACGTTGTTTGGGAATTCTGTCGGCCTCCGACTAGGATATGTACAGTGTACTACAGGGGCAATCGCAAAACATTGATGACAATTGCGTTGTTCTGAGAGGATTATGAAGTTAAACGACCACATGAGAGGCAAATTCGCAATGTCCTATTGATATTTGACAATGTCACATCACATCAATCCGTTCAACCTGACATCAACAACGTTCGAGAAACTTGATGCTGCCATCAAACATAACATCTGTCCTTCAGCCTATTGATTCCGGCATCATCGTTAGCTTGAAATAGCATTACAAGCGTCGACATTACAAACTTCCATTCTCGTCGCTGCACAATTTCGCAGAAAACGCGATCGAGCCCAAACGCTGTGAATGTCTTGCTGGCTATGCAATGGTCAACTGAAGCATGGAATGAGGATAGTCCAGTCGCCGTTCGCAATTGTTGGGGTCATCATGGCATCATATCTGGTGTGTTTCTCATCGATGCTCTTAACCTGCTCCGCATGAACTCGCTCTTGTCTCTCGATGAGTTTCTGTCGTGAGGTCTAGTACAGCACAGCCCGTATAAAGTGGCGAATCCAGCAATCAATGTGGTTTCAAAGTAACAATTTCTTTGAACCTCGACGTCAATCTAGCACATTCGCGCTCAATGTGGTGTAATCAATTGAGTGTGAATTGGAAGGTGAATGATTAAGCCAAGGTTAATCTAGACTACGAATATGTTTGCCATCTCGAAGCTCTGCATTATGCAATGCTAGGGCGACACGCCATATATTAGCTTTCACTTGCGCAATGCTCATGTAACATGCAGAAGAGGCGGGTTATGTATGACGTGGCCTAAAGGTGATACTTGATTTGTGGATCAAATATTTCACGCCGATGTGGCTCAACATAATCTGAAATCAATATGACCAATTTGTATATTCTAATACGATCGAAATCTCCTGCGATGTTTAGACACCAAGTTCGAGCCAGAACGCATGGTCGTATGCGTGGTCGCGGGCTTTGTCGACGCCGAAGCGACGAGATCTGGAAAAAGACACGCATTTCACGATGTTACACGTGCCCTTGCTACCTGGAGGCGAATGTACCTGCCTTTGCGTCACCCTGTACCTGCCGCGCTCGCCCTGCACGACACGCATGGCCCGTGTTTCCACACCATAGGGTTACACCGCGTCGTTCAGACCACAACGGCATCGCCTGCTCGAGGGTCGGTACGACAGTTCCTTGGGATTGCATAGGCTATGATGGCTGCCCTCGAAGGACGACGCTACAATGCTTTGACCTCGTCTTCGTTCAGGAACTTGAAAAAATTCAATTAGCTGAACTTGGTGTTCGGGTTACTTTACCTACCCCCACGAGTTTCTTGATCTTGTACCAAGTGCTGTCGAGTCTCACGGCGACGGCGTCGTTGTACAACTGGACACTTGGGCAAGTCGATATGACGACACCGCAGTAGTTCTTCCATACGTTACAGGCTTCGAGGAGCCCGTGGCAGAGCGTTGTCATATGAGTGGGTAATGGTTTCACATGGCATGTCCTCTCAGGCGTCAGCAGTGTGCGTTTTTCGGTTGCAGACACAACCGGCTCTTTGTAAACGTGGTGTAGGCCATGACACGACGTTGATACGAACGACGAGGTTTAGTGGGATTTTGAACTAGTCAATGATATTAGAGGAACCAGACAAAATATATTTAGAGCCTGCTACATGAACGTTTAATTGCCTTTAAGCTCCTGGTACTAGGTAGAAGTTTTAAACATATATGAGTACACTTTAGACGAAATATGTTGGACGTCATTGGGCAAGTGCATTCTGCGACTTCACATTACCTAATTGCCCATTAGGATGTCACAACCGACGAACTATGGTTCTAACCCACACTCTGACTATATGGCATGTTGTACATGCCATATAGTCATGATTTGAACTCTATACCACTGAGGCTTCGAGAGGGAGCTCTACCGCGTGAGCTATTTTGCATATTGTTTGTAAAGCTGTTGTTGCTGTGTTGTGTTCCAACGTAGGACGGTTTGCAAATCATATAAATACAGTGATTGATTGCGAACTACTAGTACCCCAAGAACCGCACGTCCTGGATATGAGTAGAGCGGCAGGGGATATGAGGCAAGAAAGCATGAAAAACCCAGTGATCAGCAATTCTCCCAGGCAATTCGCACTGCTAGGGTCAACTCACCAAGAGTTGTCAAGTGCGACAGCATTACATACCACAGAGCAACGAAACAAGTGTGTGGATTCACTACAATAATTCAGTCATGAAGGAAGCAGTCCTGTAGTTGAAAGCAGCCTGCACCACGGCTGTAGTGCAGAGCAAAATTGCTTTACAGTTTCGTCGTTCATTAATTGCTAGCTTTTGTGCACTCAACCGACGCCACCGTGGAGGTAAGAACCTACCGTTGAGAAGCAGGAATTATTCGATCATGAATGAAAGTTTAATTAGTGACTGCTATTACCATGCTTTTCAACGTCATGAAGCTGTTTTTGCTTAACTTTACTAATTGTCAAGGGAGGTTAATTGTGGTTTTAACTTGACACACTACTATTGTATATCCAATTAAAACCAACCTACTTTTCGCTCATTTCGGCTGATAGGGCTGACTCGAGGAGGGGGTGGTGTTGATTTTTCTGAAATGTCGCGAGCAGATGCGTTTTAACCGGAACGCGGATCACTTGAACCGGACAGTCTTCTTTCTAGGTGCGCGTGACGCAGTTGAATCCTTCTGATAGAAGAGCAGATGACCGGAATCGAACCGAGGACCTTCCAGTGTTGGCATTTAAACGAACAATGCATTAATATAAACGTTTAAATGCGTTTAAATCGGTGTTTAAACGTTTTAAATATAATCTATTTTAAATATAATAATATTATATAGCGAAAATTTTGCAAAAAATGCCGCCAGGCCCGGCCCACCGATCAAATATTGTCCGGACGTTGTCAAGGGCTCTAGGACAGGTGTACGAAGGAGTCATCAGCCACGAAGTTGACGGCTCTTCTTGGCGTCAAGGTTGAGCTGATCGATATTTCAAGGCGTCTACTTGCCAGAATCATTTTGCAGTCATGAGGTGATCGCGACGGTTCACATCTGCTAATGTTTCGGCACTCAGCGCTGTTTAGTTATTCTGACTCAGTATGAGTCGGACAGACAGGCGCCCTCGAAGAGGTCTACCAGGTCTACCTGGATGCCTCGGAGGCCCTTGAGCTTCGCAGTCGTAGGCTCCTGCGGCCAGTTGGGCACGTTCTCCTTCGGCCACGAAGGGCGAATTTGGCCATGATCGAGGATCTCTTCCACTTCACTGTCATCATCCGACTGATTCTCGCGCCGACTGAGGGTTGCAGAAATCGACCAGACGCTTGAATGTCTGGGTTTCGACGAAGGAGGCCGGCAGGCTATATTCCGCCATGAACTCCAGGATCAAGCGATGAAACTGGTCTTTCTGGTCGTCGATGATGGGCGGCGCGATGTACCGCGACATGGATTGTTCGCGAGGCCGTTTCATTGATGACTGAGAGTGTGTCGGACCGAGAAGCGGCGACCCGCTACTACCAGATCGCATCGCACCACTCTGGCTGTATGATGGAGTTGTATCGCGCGACGGTGCAAACATGCATTTGCGGAGGTGCGCTTCCATCGCGTTCTTTTCCGCACGGATGTCGGCGGGCTTGCCAGCGTTCGGATTGCCCGATTCAAATGCACGTGTGCAGTGCATACATTTCAGAAACGCTTGCGTTTTGTTGGTCATGCGGCCTGTGTTCGTGAAGTGTTGCCGCGCGCTGCACGGTTTCCGACCGACAAGATGTGGCATCCGTATGATGTGGAGGAAGGACCGACGGAGTGACACTGATAATGCAAGGAAAGCGTCAGCCGGAAGGACCGACGGAGTGACACTGATAATGCAAGGAAAGCGTCAGCCGGGCGGAGTCGGATAAATTATACACGCCCGTTTTAGGGATCGCCCGGACTCCGTGACTCACAGAGCTCTAATAACTCCCGTTTAAATAGCAGGAAGTTCAAAACCCCCGTTTAAATAGCAATAATAATAAGAAGAACGTTTAAACACCGTCTAAATAAGGACGTTTTTGTTTAAACGTAATAATTGTCCGTGCCAACACTGGACCATCCAGTCAGACGCTCGACTATAATGCAATGCACAGGATTGTTTTATTTCGGTGTCACAGCATTCATGACAGCTTGGCCGAGTGTTCAAAGGATATATTATAGAATATACCCATCCTATCCAATATACCTGGAGCATTGGATATTTTCACTCTGAAAGGGGATAAATAGATTGTGGGCGGTTTGGGGGACGGCAGTCGTGGTGCGGTGGCCGAATTGCAGCGGCGGTGGGGTGGCAGACATGACAACCGCGGCAGTGGTGACGGCGACGATGTCGGTGGCCGTGGCGTAGTTTAGCAAGGTGTTGACGACTGTGGCGTCGGCGGCGGTCGCGGTGGCAGTCGTGGCGTTGACGGCCGTTGTTGCGGCTGGTGACGCGAGGCAGGCACAACGGTGGTGGCAGTGTTGGCTGCGATGGTGTCGGCAGCCCTGGCGTTGGCCGGCATGATGTTTGACTACCGTGGTATCGGCGGCAATGGCGTTGGCCGTGGTGGCGTTGAGGCAATGGTTGCGGCGGCGGTGCGGTGGCGGTCACGACGTTGGTGGCAGTCTTGGTGGTGGTGATG